TTTAACATTCTACTTTGTCAGCTCCATAATTTTTTGTTTTCTTTTCACTTTTTCACTTCCTTTTCTACTATTTTTCATACAAATAAGTATTATTTGCTAAGATCAAAATCAAATCCTTTCACCTACCAACTGTGATTCCGTAAGTACACTGAGCAACGCCAGCAAGCGATGGCCATCGCGCAAGTCCTCAAACAAGTCGTTCACTGGTGTACACTGGGTCTTTAGCAGATGTGAGTTAATCCATTTGGTGAAGGTCTTCTTTTGTATGTCCTGGCGTTCGTCTGCAAGAAGGAAGATAGAATGAATATAATTTGATTAAATGGAAGTGTGAAAAGTTATTAATTTATAAATACCAATACATTTCTAAAATAAGTAATGAATRGAATATAGTAAAAATATACTAATAATGTAATTAAAGGTTTCCAATTCGATTTACATATTATATTTTATATTAGTCCGATGACGAAACCATCTTAATGTACCAAGTACTTTATTGAAACCAGTAAGATAACTAAATATRTCGGACGTGTTCCAAAGAATATTATATTGTATATATATAAAAAAGATGGGACTTTTTTCCAACGAAAAAGTTTGAGTGGAATAATTTTAAAGGTTCACATGTCGGAAAAGGAAAGTGCCATTGTGCTCCCACATGATGAACAAACAAACCCCATTAAGTAACTAACTTAATTTGAATATTTTTTTTCACTCTTGTTACACAATATCTAATATTCTAGCATCTCCTCATTCTCTGCATGCTGCCGATTTTACTTTACAAAGTACTGAAGGTGAGATCTTAGGGTAAATGCCCTGTGGTGACTCTTAAAAAGTTGCCAGAGATTGACTTTTGTGATAGTTTCAACGAAAAAGGGAGGTATGTTATTCAAAACTTTTTGTTCGATTTGAAATTTTTGTCTACTTACGTCACGTGTTCAGATTGTCAGTTAGTATATCGTGTTCTCCAAAAATTAAGGGCCGTCTCTCAGGCTAAAGAACATGCTTATATGGCTTGTATGAAACTTCGAATTTAATGGGGATTCATTATCATTCATGTTTTGGCATTTCTGTTTTGAAGATTATCTCTTCCATATATTGAGCGCGTTCTGTTGAGTTCAAATTTTGATGACTCGTTTGAGCTTTTCGACTGGTAACTGGCGAATCAAACTCTCAATGCAGGAATCCAAAAGCCATTGGTATATCCAATCCTATAAGTTGTTGGAATTTTTCACTTTTAGCAGAATTTAAAAGCAACAACTTGCTCGTAGTAACACAYACGCATTCATAAAATGGCACTTAACAACAACCACAGCGACAAAGTGTTAGTTAATGACATTTACACCTCGCTATTCCCGAGAAATCCACAATTAGTGCACCTTTCRGCTTTGCCGTAATCAAACATGTTATTACCATTTCGCCGTAGTAGGAGTGTAACAGCTCTAAATTAAATTAGCGTTAATGCATGGCCCACAACATATAACGGTATTTACATGCATATCAAGTCTTATGACAGTCATGATATCTACCACGGTCAACAATTATAATAATAGCCTTGTCATGCGATACTGTTATAGCGTTCTCCGGAATTGTGGCATCTGCAAAAGGCCTTCAAATCTTTCGACTGTGTGAGTTGACCACTTTAGTCATGGCGCCAATGATGCTSGATGTTGTTGCTGTTAATTTTATAGAAATTGTAAATAAAACGTAAAATATTTAGTTTTTCATCAACATTTATTTTGTCGTCTTCAAAGTAAGCCCCATCAGAWGTAATACASTTTTGTSAACGATTTTTCAAGTMCTTGAAACACTCTTCATAATTACTTTTTTGGATGGCACTCAGCTCCTTTAACGAATTTTGTTTTATCTCTTCGATTGACTGAGAACGGTTTTCACGGAGCGATAATTTCAATTCGGGGAACAAGAAAAAATYCCAGCTAAATTGACCGTCTGTCTCTCCGGAAAACATTCATGACGTACTAAACCAGRCATATCGGAGAAACACATGAGCGTCACCTTGACTTTTGAGCGGATTTGGGGTGGTTTTTTTTCGGTTTCGGCTTGTTTCTTCCCCTCCTTTCGGACGATTGCTGATTTTGTTTTTTGCATGTCAAACTTAGGTAGCTGTAATGCTCTCCATGCATGTGTGATCAGAATTCGCGCGATGAAGCATTTTCAAAGAGACTTATTTGCGTTACCATTTTTAACAGTAAATCAATTTTTTTGGAGCAAGAACGCGTTTCATACCCAAACATCCACCAAAAATTTTCGAACGAACTCACCGTCTGCCCTGCGATTTTCAAGCACCACATCCATCACTTTTTTAATATTTTCATCAGTTGAAGAGGTCGAGGATCGTCCAGAACGAGGCATATCTTCTACGATCTCTCGACCGCCTTGAAGGCTTTGTACCAATCGCAGACTTATGTTTTTGATAAAACTGAATCACAGTAAGTAATCCAACAATCGCAACAGTTCCATACAGGAAATTCGGTTAAAAATACTGAGGCGTACCGACTTAAGCAGCTGCTGTAAACAAACTGGTCGACAGATCGTGCTCATATGTGACATTGTTATTAAGGATAGTCCGTTTACCCGGGAAATTTAAATTACATTTCTTGGCACTCTTTTGCCACAATGTATAGCTGTACTCAGAAGAGGTTGATACCACTTAGATATTTGATTGGACTGCGTCATGTTTATATACACTTCTGCATTAGTTGTATACATACTATTTATCTTAAGCTCAAAAAGTTTGATTCATTGAGTATCAAAGGTCTTTTTGGATCTCTCAAAGGGTTTCATGGGTCTTTTGAAGCAAAGTGTATGTATATATTCTTCAAAAGTAGTATTCTATAATACAATATATGTTCCTGTGAGTGAGAGCTTTATGAAGCATATATTTATAACTGTCGACCAAGCGAAGCCCATTGGAGAGGTGCTTTTCCGTCACCTCCAACCTGCCTGTTTGTCTTACATTTCAAATAATCAAAGAAAAAGAAGTCAGGAGGTATTTATTCTGGAGATCTTTGTTATCAGTCCTTCTTTCTGTCATCGAACGTTCGGGGATAGCAGAACTTTTATTTATTTCTCTTGACTGTTTCTGCAAAAAAGTTCACACAAGTAGAAGTATATAGTTGATAACACATTTTTCGGCACATTGGACATCGAAAGACCTTTCTTCTGCTTTATCTTAGAGAAATTTTTAGTCACTTTAAACCTTTAAAGAATTTTTCCGAATTGATATTAAATTTATTTTGTCTGCCAGTGCCTTAAGCTTGGTCACGATGGAAATCTCAGAGCATCAGTTTTTCTTTTCGTCTTTTACTCTTTTGTTTTCGGTAGAAGTTCAGTGGTCATGCTTTTAAAAGCTAACAAAAACTGTATATATCTATATGAACACACTTAGTTATCTAAACCGCAACAAAGTGAATGCTTGCACTCCGCATTTTGTGGATATMTACTAGAACAATCATAATGTACTTGCACTTGTGGCATAATAAGGAGGTGCCACTTGCATTGTTCGCAGTATAACACTTGTTGMAAGAGCATTTTAACCCACCATGACATGCAACAACTGACAGCAATCAATTTGTTTCAGATATGAACTACAAAACCAATCCGTCTGTCTATTTGCGTGTGTACTCGTCTAACTAGCTGGGAGTGCAAACGTTGGCGTGTGTGTGAATCCGATTGCGAGGGCTTTGAGGTTCACCAAAACCAGCGAGGAGTGTAWGACAGACAGCTCGGTTCGTTGGCTGCTTAGCTCACTGACTAAATGTCTGTTTGACTGACTCACTGACTCTATGATTAATCAGTGAGGGAATGTAGTGAATATTTGACTATTCCATTGGCGTTGCACACATACATATCGATATATATACTTATACCCACACATACAGATACCTAAGCGAACACTCRACTCTATTTCAACATCTCRGCAGTTCGGTGTTACACCCGTTGTACGTTGCACGTGCCACCGKCCAGCRCCGGTCACGCAAAGTTTTGKGTACGCTGTCAGGCAACAACTACAGCGTTATTACACTTAAGTGCACATCGAATGTCGCCAAGTGCAACTGCAGCGTTGACACCACTCCATCATGCAACGCTAGTGRCAGGCGGTGTGGCGGCGGATTGCGGTGCAAGCTTGAAGAGCAGCTTCAGAAAATAGTARAATTGTCTTTGTTGTTGTTGGTGTGTGYGTTATGCTTGCGTGTTGCACTTTGTCGGACATCCGCAGTGGGAATTCGTGTACGGGGCCGTTGTCTGCCATAAGTGGCAACAAATTTATGCCACAGGAATGACTTGAAAATTGGAAGAGGCTTGAATGGCAATACACCTGGCACYCGTGAGGAAGTGCTATACGGCGGACGGTCGGGTTTAGCTTTTATTTTGAGTTTTCTGGCATTCCCATGTACAAACCGCAGGTTATTTAGAGTTAGAGAAGGGTTCGGTTTGATTGAAGAGAGCATGGAATAAACACGGAATATACAAGGAAGGCCAGATGTCTCTAAATGGGTTCATGGGTCACATCCTTCTTCCAAACTATAATCCTAATCCTATTGAACGAGACTTAGGATTTGAAGTGAAGGTGTAATGCCAGGAGAAGGCAAACCCGATTCCCCAATCGATGACGATGAAGCAGACGTTCCATTGACCGACCATATAGAAGTTCGAATAGCAATTACCCGTCAAGAACCAAGAACATCAAAGCGAAGGGAGCCGATAGATTGACGTCCGAGCGATTGAACGATGAGCTGTAAAAGTTCAGCGTCACTCCACCAGAGAAAACTTCGACGTAGTCCACCCCCTGGCGGAGAAGAACCTGACTTCGGCTATAACCGCTTAAGCATTGTCTAAGCCAGTAAAGAAGAAGAACAATCGGAATTCGAAATGTATGTTATTTTAAGTTTTCTTGAAACTCTAATGCAGGTGGATTTACATTAGGGTGCTCTTTTTGAACTATTAATTTTTGTCAGTCCCGTCTTAAAATTTCTTTGGAAATACGCTAAACAAAATTCAAAAAAAAATGCAAAATTTTAGTCTTTAATATTAGCATTAAGAACTGAACCAAGGCCTGTAAAAATTTTCCGTAGAAAATACACTACAATCGTGAGTTTTTATCTTTAAATTTCTACAGATCAGTGGTATTTTATGGCATCGCTTTGACTTTAGACGCATATTTCTCAGAATTGTTCACACTCTACACAAGTACCCAGTGCAACAAAGTCGTAATTCACACCAGCGAGATAGTACGGGGCTCTAAACCCGATTTTTCCAAGAATTT